TTTTTTTTTTTTTTTTCAAGGCGGTGTTTTCCTCTGTGGGAGGTGCGGAGTTACTTCCCGAGGACGCGCCTCCGAGCAGCGCGGCCACCGGCCCAGGCGGCATGGACGAGGTCGACCATCACGGCAACACGCCCCTACTGCTGGCGCTGCAGCTCGGACGCTTGGAGTGCGCTAATGTGAGTGCCTCGTCTCCCTCTTGCCTGGGCGAGCGTTGAGGTCTTCGGAGTGTTCTTTTTTTTTTTGTTCGGGGGGTGGTCGGGCTGAGGCAGAGGCTTATTGTAGTCATCGGTGAAAGTACCGGCGCGAGGGCACCTGTCATGAAGTTTTCGCATTTTTTTTCGTGTTGTTTGGGTTGGAGAATAAGTAGACAAAGGGCACGACCTACAACGACACGTCGTAATTTTTTCCTGTGCCGACGAAATCGACACACACCATCGCCCTTTCTTGTTGTTGTTGAGGTCTGAAGCACAAAAACTTGGACATATATATTTGGATGTGTTTCGGCACCTGTTCGTTTAATTTCTGACAAGCACATCACCGAAGCAGGACACAGTTGAAGCTGTTGTTTCGGCACCTTGTTCTTTCTTTCTTTCTTTCAAACACGGCACATGTTTTTTTGTTGTTTTTCAGGCGCTCCTGGAGGCCGGGGCTAACGTGGACATCAAGAGCGGAAGGCGATACCACCTCATGGACGAGGCTGTGCTTACCGGCGACCAGGCCATCGTCAGGCAGGTCTACATGCGGGCACAGCTTCTCACCTGGCTACGTTGGAAGAGCCGCTTGCCTCACCTTCTCGACATCCTCGAGGAGATTCCGGTGAGTTTTGTTCTGTGTTTTTTTTTTCTGTTTTCTGTGTGATATCCTTGCGGAGATTTCCGGTGATTTGGTGATGTTCTGTTTCTGTTTGATATCCGTGGGAAGATTCCGGTTAGTTTATTCTGCGTGTTCTGTATTATGTCTGGTATCCTCAGGGAGATGTTTACAGTAGACACGAAGGATCTACCTTTGTGTGGGGGGGGCGACGTTGTAATTTGATAATTCGGTGTGTACCTGTGCATAAGTGTGTTTTTTCCCGTAAGACTGCTGTCAACAACGAACGCCAGCGTTTTACATGGTCGTCTGTTATTTTTTTTATTGTCGCCGCGCGGGACGTGTTTCCTCGCACGAATCCAAATTAATAAACATGGCGTGTTTTTTTTTTTTCACAAACAGCGGGGGGGCTAGTTTTGCTTTTCGTTCTCGCAGATGTCGTTGTTTTTCGCCGCAACCGTCATGTTTTATTCCCGTATGGCGTTACGGTTGTTGTAAGTGCCATGCTTCTGTTTCCTGTCATACCGCAGGACTTCTACGTGGAGATGAAGTGGAGCTTTTCCGCTGCGTTCCTGATGGCCCCTCTCATGCAAGCTGTCGCGCCCAGCGACACTTACAGGTGGGACGGAAGCAGAGGGAGGGAGTGCAGTACTGATGCAACGATGGTATCGCACCTTTGATACGCTCTTGCCCGCGCTGCTGCCAAGCTTGGCCTAGGTTGGCGTTGATAGCGAGATGGTGATCGCAATTGCGGTCGTGTGGTGGATTGTTGTGTGGACGTGCTGTTTTGGTCGTTTTGTGGACAACCAGAACAAGACGCATCGCACTGCCGCGCTGCCCTCATGGTTTCCACGTCAAGACCAGCATGCCATGCTGCCACACCGTTGGTATCATATGACGAGACGGCAAATACAATCGCTGTCACGTGCTTACCCTGAAGACCCGACGGTGGGTACCCCCCCCCCCCCCCCCCCCCC